TGCAGGCCCCGTTAGGGCCCAGGCAGGAGTGGGAGGAAATGTTGCAGTTATCTTCGATTGTGTGTCCATCGACATCAAATTTGTCTACGCCCTTTTTTGTTGGTGAAAGGTGCCGCCAAAATTTGCGGGGAGACGAGTTGGAAACGCCGGCATTGCTTGGTTATAGCATCTGTGTTTCGCGTCTTTAATTGACGTTTTAAGGTTCTGACTAAGCAACCTTATTTTCCCACGCGCACTGGTCGTGGCTGTTCTGCGAATTTGAGCCCGACATCGTGATATGTTTCTTTTAAATGAATAAATATTTCTATTGATCCTGGGATTGTCCGTGGCCTCCTTCTTCGTTCTAATGGGTGCAAAATCAGTCATACATTTAGTTATAACTTCTTTTAACTTATAACTAAATGTTACGATCTCCTCACGGGTGTCAAGTGCGCACAAACTGGGGACCTTCCCCGAGAACAACTTTGGTGGATTATCCGTGACCGGACGTGGGGACACCGTGGCTAATCTTAATCCTCAGCGCGCCCTCCGTTCCAAGGAGACGAGGTATGGGGTCAAGGAGAGGGCTGACTTTCGGCTGTCTGGCGACGCGAGGCTTATTTTTGTCTGGCGCGTTTCCGCGCTTTTTGTGTTGCACGTGCGGATCATCTTCGACGGGTGGCGTCTCCGGGGACTGTAAAAATTGGTGACCCTGACGGGTTTAGAGGTTGGCGTCCGTCAAGGTTCCGGAAGGGGAAAAAGGCTCGAGAACGAGGAGGAGATCAAGAGCGTCCCAATCGAGGCCTGCCCCGATTGCCAGGGAGGGAACGAAACGAAGGACTGAAAGGCATCGGCCGTCAGGGCTCGGCGACTGAAGCTTGTCCCGGGACGGACGTCGGCGAGCGACCTGCTGACAAGCAGCCACAGCCAGACCTCACCAGCCCGTGCCTGCTGACAAGGAGCCACAGCCAGACCTCACCAGCCCGTGCCTGCTGACAAGGAGCCACAGCCAGACCTCACCAGCCCGTGCCGGGTGACAAGCAGCCACAGCCCGACCTCACCAGCCCGTGCCGTGTGACAAGAGGCCACGACACGAGAGAATGACGTGCAACCTGCCAGGTTCCAAGCGCCGGCCCAAGCGGGTGAGCGGACACCTTACGTCCCCAGTCGGACAATAAACGTCCTAATTTAAATCCGAGTCTCGTGGCATTTCTTCTCCTCTCTACCCCAAAAGGGACCCCAAGGGTGGTGTAACCGCTACCTCCGGTAGCGATCATCACACGGGTCCTGACCACCTGCGCAAAATCCAAAACGCCGCCATCTATTCCCTGCGGCTACGGCGCTCGAGTTGAGACACGACCCCTCATGTTTTTTTCACTGACTCCAGGCTTTCTTTGGACGGCGTCAGTTCGCGGTACATTACGCATAAAAGTTTCCAAACGCGACCTCCTGCCGGGAGCGATGCGTGCGTGCCGTTACATTCGCCTCTGTAACTTAATACCGACATTGGAGCCTCCTCCGCTGTTAAACGCAAACCCACCAAAAATAAACATTGTGTGTGGCTTCTAAAAAGCTGTAAATACGTTGATTGAAAGAAATAAAAAAGAAAGAAAGTTGCTCTGAGAACCTGAAGCACTGTTCGCATTCTCTGCGTAATCCTCAACATGGCGTCGGACCGCGGGGGTGGCGGGCAAAGGGCGTCTCTGGGCAGATAGCGCTACTCCTGGAGTCGGGGGGAGTGACCGCGTGTGCGACAAATGCGACGGAAACTCCGCCCCCGTAGCTGCTGCTTGCCTTTCGACTGCGGCGGTTGTGAAGAGCGGAATACACCTACAAGTAGGAATGCCGCGAACCTCCCGAAGTGCGAGTTCGAAAGATTGCGAAAATTGCGAACCTCACTGAGGTTCCAATTCGAAAAAGTTCGCCACTTTAGAACCGCGCTGAAGTTCAAATCCGAGTAATTAGAAATAAATGTCAAGGCTTTGAAAAGTTTGAGTTGGAAGATATCAAATTTTCGTGAAATCGTTCAAAAACTTCAAGCATTTCAAATTTTTTTAAAGATTGAAGGTCGAAATATTCGAAGATTTTCAAATTTTGTCAATCTTCAATGTCGGAAACTTCGAAAGTTTCAATATTAAGTTCGAGTATTTTAATTTTACGGGCAGATAGCAAAATATTCCGCAATTTCAAACTAACTTGTCATAACTTCATTGAAGAAAAAAAAATCACGAAATGTGCTACACATTTCGCTGAAAACGTTGTCAATGTTTCTTATGCTAAATTGTCTGAGTGTCTCGAAGAAATAAACTTTTTGAACGATACTCTTCTTTCTAATCATTTTGATGTTATCAAGTGTCATCCAAGATTTTCGTAGTATTATGTTATAACTTATACGGAAAACATTCATCATAGCACTTTTTGAACAAGTCATAAAATGTATCATAGGCATCATTTAGGTTGGATTGTAATTATCCGCTGCACGAGGAAACAAACGGACAACCTTGCTCACCGTATAAATAAAATACGAGAAAACGTCGACCTCGCATTCGCGCGAGCAGTGTCGTGCTTGACGAAAATAATTCCTGGAGAAGGGGAACAAGGCCACAAAGGACAGACGCAAATCTCCAAGCATAGCTAGGTGACTGGTGAGCGAGACAGAAAAAATACGCCTAGTCCTAATATCAAACCAGGCGGACATCTAGCCAGGTGGCTACATGTCCACGACCTGGGGCGCGGAGGAGGGAGAGTGGGGGTGGGGGGGAGGGGGGGAGTGCCCCTTCCGGTGGCTTACAACCCCTCTTTGCCCGCACACTTCGCCATGCACAATCTTTCGGCCCACGCACTGCGCAACTCTGGAGATCGTTACCTCCGTCCATCACTACCACACCACCAACGGATGGCGACACCATACGCCCGTTGGCTAAGAGTGTCGCTCTCATTTGCGAAACAACTGAGTGAGATATTCGCGTCTCTGACTTTCAACGTCCCTTACGTGACCCCATTCTTTGTCTTTCTACATATGTATATCTATCCACAATCATTGTTTTGTTTGTTTTAAAGCGATAGCTTTATGGGCGACCATTTGCAGAGATTTCGTCCTCGTAGGTTGTCATCGCCGTGCGCGCGAAGGGTGGGAAAACTTTTTTCTATCTCCCCTCTTGGGGCGAGCAGAGCGAAGTCGTGATTTACCGTTGACCGTGACACGCGAGGAGAGCGAAGAGGGCAGCCCTGGCCTCGTTCAAGAATCGCGCGACGTAAGGAGAACCTGTGTCGTCAGCTCGAAAGACTTGTTTTCAAACGTTACTGGCGTTATGCGAAATCCTGCTTTGGCAGTACCGAGTTGCTACGCGTAATGTTGGATGGTTATCACTTACCCCACGGATCACCGAGCACAGGTGGCAGTCGTCAGTGGCATCCAAGACGTCAATCAGGACGGCACCGAGAACGATCCTCCATCCTCAGGAACGTGACGGCCCCATTCCACTCGCATTGCACGACTGTGGTGCAGCTTTCGCTCTCGTTTCTTCGCACATTGTGGCCGAAAACTACGACTTTTATTTTAGTTTTGTGCCAGAGTGGCACTGTGAGTCTTCTGCTATGAGCGCAACGCCTGCATCACAGTGGCCCTGCACTCCTGAGTTCAACAATAAACAAAGAAACAGACGCCGCACCGCAAAGAAAACAATGTGAATAAAAAAGATGGTGGCATGTTCCCCGTGTTGGCCGCGCCGTCAGCTCGGTGTGGCAAGGTGTTTACCGACTTTCGAAGGACAAGTCGGCCAACACGGTTGACGGACGACAAACAGATGTCTCCCAATAGTTTATGTTGCCTAAATTTGACAGGGTCACCGGAATCATGCTTCCTTCGTGTTGACGGTCATCAATCGTGTCTAACTGTTTCTTCAATATGACAGCGCCTTAAGGGAGTTTGCTTTGCCGTTCCAATATCAATGTATATAACAGCGGGACACTTTCGTTCAGAGTAGGTCCCTCGACACTCGAGAAATTTTACGAAAAGTGCCTCGAGCACAAAATTTGTCAATGTTTGAATTGTTACCCAGCGCGGACTAACAAGGAGCGTTGGGATATGCAAACACATCTTTGCTCTTTTTTCAGACAGGTGATTTTTGCCATGAGATTAAACGTGATATACAGGGTGTCACAAAAGAAAATTTTACAGAGTTCTTTTTACCTCGAAAATAAACTAGACATCGCCGAACGCTTATTCTCCACCCAAAGGTAGCGCTAGAGGTCACAACCAGATGCCAAAGTTTCAGCACGATCCGATACCTTAATAAAAAGTTATAAGTGATTTTCTTAAAATTTCAATGGGAAAGTGGCGGCCGACGGAGTTTTCGAATACATGGAGCCCTATGGCACTAGAAACCGAAAACGGGCAAAAAGGGGTTCCATTTTCCCATTGAAATTTTCAGAAAATAACTTACCACATTTAAATCGGGCTGAAACTTTGGCATCTGGTTGTGACCTTAAGCGCTACGTTTGGGCGGAGAATGAGCGTTCGGTGATGCCTAGTTTAATTTTGCGGTGAAAACAAAAACAGTAAATTTTTTTTGTGACACCCTTTACAAGGGATGACGGTGTCAATCCTTACTTTTTCACGCGTCAAATAATTGCGTATTAAAAATCGCACTTTGTGGCGATTGAGATTCGCAGATGGGTTTCTTTGGTAAAGTTGTTTGACCAAGCAGCAGAGATGCAAACCGACACCAAGTAGAGGAGTCCATTTGGACGGTCATGATATCGTGTTTGTAGCGGGAATCATAAAACGAATAATACAATTTGCGAATGAAATCGTGTGCACTGCGTGTGTTTGTCAGAATTAGTATTAAAAGTTAACACTACAACTTCTCCGTGCTTAAAACAGCCTATCTAAGATTAGTTCCACCGGTGTGCATACAAATCCTTAGGAACCAGAATGAGCCTCACGTTTCAAGCTCGACAGTAGCGCAAATGCGATAGCGTCCACAAATATTGCAGCGAAGAACAAATGATGCACGGAATTTAAATATTGTAAGTCTTTTTTTAATATTCAATGCGAGGAAATGCGCAAAACTTGCCAGAAAAACCCTTCAGGCGAGGAAAAAAAATCAAACTATGCCGTTTTAAGCCTTTCATACCCAACGTTTTCAAACAATTTTCTTTTCCGACGCTCTCGCTTACGCTTTGACGCCGTCAAACACAACTCCCGCTTCAAGAGCCATGGCGTAGAACGACGAAGTTATATCTGTCAAGAGTTCTGCCGGACTGCCAACTTCAACAACCCTCCCTTGATCTATCACAATAACACGGTCTGAAGACAAAACGGTTTGAAGACGATGAGCTATGGTCAACACTGTACACCCACTCATCGCGTCTCTCAATGTCTGCTGAACGAGCAAGTCAGTATTCATGTCGACTGACGCCGTGGCTTCATCGAGCACAAGGATCTTCGTCTTTCTCAACACGGCCCTCGCAAGACAGACCAGTTGCCGCTGTCCAACGCTGAGGTTGAGTCCACCTTCTGTAACTTCAAAGTCTAGACCATAGGTTGTTCTGAAGAAATCGCCGAGGTGAGATCTGTCCAGTGCCCACCAGAGCTCAGCAGTATCATGCTGCCCAGCTGGGTCAAGGTTGAACCGCAGAGTGCCTTGGAATAGAACCGGCTCCTGTGGTAAAATAGTTATTCTGGACCGAAGGTCATGTAACCTCAAAGCAGAAATGTCAATGCCATCTACAACAATCTTGCCAGACGCTGCTTCGATGATGCGGAAAAGGCTTAGAGTTATGGTTGACTTGCCGGCACCCGTTCGTCCTACGATCCCCAATTTTTCACCGGGGCTAATGTCTACGTTGACGTCCCTGAGGGCCAGACTCAAACCATCCCGGTACCGAGTCGAGTAAGACTTGAAGGACACAGCCCCCGAAGCTGGCCAGTGAGGGTCCGGTTTTAACGTCGACGTCCACGGTTCTTCAGGTGTCAATCGCGCGTACTCATCTAAACGTTCCGCCGACAGCAACGTTGCTTCCAGTTCATTGGAGTAGAAAATAAAAGAGGTGAACAAATTTAGAGCATTATTTGTGTAGGACACTAGAAGACCTGCTCTTCCCGTGCTGATCATGTCGCGGCTAGTAACGAGAAGCAGCAGCATCAAAAACAGGAGCATTTCATTGGCCACCTCCATCCAGACTTCTGCCCAGTATTCAAAATTAAAGCCGTTTACAGTACAAGTCTGCATAGTGTCAATCTTATCGTCATTATCTCGAAGGAAAACACCCTGGACGCCGAAACTCCTGATGCTGCTCAACCCCGCAAGTGTTTCCGAAAAGTGATTGTTGACTGGAGAACGGGTGACAGTCTCTAACCTTTTGACTTGACGAAATTGGACCGCGTATTTTTGAAGTAAAACCAACAGGCACGCCAAAACAGGAATGACAATAAGAAGGTAAATAGGAATATGTATGCATACGAGGATAATAGATGAGACAAAAAGGAACAAAAAGTTAAGAAAAAAATGCGCTGTTGTCGGAAGCTGGACATCGAGCTGATCAACATCTTTGCCAAAACGGTTCAATATGCGACCAGAAGGTGTGACATCAAGAAATGACAAAGATGTCCTCATGACACCGTAGAGCATCAGCTGGTGAAGCCTTGTGGAAGATGAGAGTGCTACCTTCCACAGCGTTGAGATAGCGAAAAAATTCACAACGGCTTTGAAAACGACGAGGATCACGTAAACCCATATTCTGTAGATGCGCAGCGATAGGTCCTGAATTTGGACAGAAAATAATGAGTCATTAACCCATTCGCTCAACCAGATACCAACGAATAGACCGATTGCAATATATCCAGCGTAACACAAAATTACGAATAGGAACAAAGGTCCAGCGTGTCTTATGTAGGTTCCGTATACTTGGAGACTGACTGAACCCTCCTCCACTGTCTCCTCCTCTACAAGATTGCTCTTCCGCGGCCCCTGTTCAATGTCTGGCACGTGGCTTGTTTTTACAGAACTGTCTTCATGGGCCGCGAATTTATGAACTCTCTTAGAAACGTTCCTTAGCAACTTCGAAAGGATACTTCCTTGATGTTTGAGATCTTGAAAGGTGCCTGTTTCAACTACTGACCCATTCTGCATAACGATAATGTAGTCCACTTCAGTGAGCACCGAAAGGTTATGGGTGACCAAGATTCGTGTGGTTTCTTTCAACATTCCTCGTGGTCCGATAAGGTTATTGAAAATGGAAGCGCCTACATGAGCATCCACTGCGCTCAGCGGATCGTCAAAGAGATAAAGTTCTCTCCTTTGGTAAGCTACTCTTGCCAAACTGACCCTCTGCTTTTGACCCCCGCTTAAGTTAATTCCTCTTTCGCCAATTTCCGTCGTATCTCCACCTGGAAGTATCTCTAGGTCTCTCTCAAGACAACATGCCTTTAGAACCATGTCGTACAGTTCGGCATCAAACAAACTCCCAAAAAGTACATTTTCTCTAAGAGTCTTGTTTTGTATCCACGGACACTGAGGAGAATACGCCACACTTTCTGCACGATCCACAGATCCTGAAAAAATTCTGAGGTTTCCCAAAATTGCAGACAGCAAAGACGACTTGCCAGAGCCTACGGGACCGACGACTGCGATTAGTTGACCGGTCTTGACGGTGACGTTAATGTTGTTCAACACCGGGGTTTTATGGCTGAACCAAGAAAAGGTTCCATTTTTCACGGACACCGCATCGCCTTCCTTAAGTTGTCGACCGACCGAACATTCCTTTACTTCAGACGATAGCAGAAACCTTTGAATCCTCATAATTGAAACTCTCGTCTGAACCACATTGGATATGAACGCTGGAATCAAAAACATAGGGTACTGCATACAATCAAACAATGTCAATGACACAAACGCAGTACTTGGGTCGAGAATGTGGCTATCACTGATCAAGACAAAGGTCACGAAGCTCGCTAAAGCCACCATAGATGCCGAGCAACCAAAGAGAAAGAAATTAAGCGCAGTCATGTATGAATATTTCTTGAGCAGAACCATCTCTGCCAACCTTAAAGACGTGCACTTGTTCGTAAAGATATTTTCCCAAGCGAACAGCTTCAAAACTTTCATGCTGCTCAAAATCTCTGCTACAAAATTGAGCCTTTTGTCTTTTAACCCCATTTGATCTTTCTGGTACTTGTTTCCAGTGCTGACCACTAGTGCCGTCAGGGGAAGTATAACGAGCATTACAGCAACGCCAGCGAGGCAGGCCCCTCCAATGAACTGCCACAAAATAATTACTGCGACAACGATGAGTGGAGCTCCCGAGGCCACAAAGCCAAAACTAATACTAAGCTTCAAGATCTGATCCGCGTCAACAGAAATAAGGTTGACTAACTCGCCTATTGTGTACTCCCTCTGCGACTCACTGGAAAGTCGAAGCATCTTTCTATAAATGGCTGCCACCATGACAGTTTTCATATTTAGCCCGGTAAACGTGAGTGTCTTCTCGATGTGGACACCAAGCAGTCTCGACCCAAAGTTGGCACTTACAATCCCGATCGCATACAAAATTCCTTTCCACGTAGGATCGCTTCCGCTCATGTAGCCCATCAGCAAATGTAACAAAAGTGCAGGGATGATTTTCAGTACCACTCGTAGTGTAGCGAGGATGCAGGAAATTACAACAGGCTTCCAATACACTTTCCACAGTGACCTAAGCAATAAAGTTAACGTTCCAGTGACAACACAGGATCCGACCTCTGGTACGTATCCAGCTGAATGCAGTTCTTTCATCCAAATTGTATTCCACTTACTGTGGCTTTGCCGAGTCATCATGTCTTGTGGAACGCTGTAAAGATCCTCAAGCTGTAAACTGCGCTGTGATCTTTTAAGAATGAGATCAGTCAACCAACCGAAGAGAAGGAAGGACACGGGAGGAGCGGTAAGATATGGTCTTTTTTCGTCTTGTCTGGCGTCCGTCCAGCAAGACAGGAACAACTGGAAAAGTATTATTGGATACGATGAAGCCCACACAGCGAGCTCTAGTTTATAGAAGTTAGATAAATTAGTGTCCGACGTAAAGGCTTCCGTCATGTGGCGGAGGCACTCGGGGAGCTTGCAGACAGTGGTCACCGACCAGAAGCAAAACAGCAGCATCGAAGATCCAATTCCGTTCTTTCGATCCTTTTCCTGAACTTGCATGGCGATGGCAAATGTCACGCAATACACAAGGTCCGCAGTCACCGATGACCCCGATGATTCTCCAAGTGTCAGCTTGTACATGAGTGATAAGGCGTAGGTGAAGGTCAACAGAACACTTGCGATGAACCTGGACAGGCTTAAAGGAGTCCAGGAGAATGGTTGACGATACAGGGACTGTTCCTTCCGCCTTTGCACGAGCAACTGGAGGAGACCGAATGGCATTAGGAGAATTGCCGGCGTGTAGGTGAGCACAGTAGACTCGAAGCATGATGTCAGCCTCGGGTACTTCGAGTACCACGTATAGTTCCAGTCCCACAAGGGCGAAGTGCAGAAAGGTGCCATAACCAACACGCTCGATGCGCACCAGTTGTTGACTGTTCCTCTTTTTACGGAGGTCACAATTCACTCGTTCAGAATCACGGTCGTGAGGTACTAGCGCGCCTGCCACCTTGGCGGCTTGAAGAAGGTGCGCACAGACCGGATGAACACAGAAATTATGTTTCCCGTCCCGGATACAGATGAAAATTAGCCAGGAGGAGCGGCTGCGGTACCTGCTGGTGGAATGCTCGACGTTTTCGGTTGAATGGCATATTGTGTTCTACACTTACGTTAATAAAACGCTGCTAAACCTGTACACTACAGCAGTTGTTTTTTTAGGATTGTGAATGTGACTCGAAAGGATGGCGCCTGTTACAAGTTCCTGGAGAGGGAGGGAGAGAGGAGGAATCATGAGGTGGTGAGTGATTAACAAAAATGATTAGTTATTGCAATTCTAAATAAACTGTCCGATGCCATAGACACTAAAGATGCGATTCCATTCGGATGACGTTCTGGGAATGAAGGAGTAAAACCCAGGATTGGTGCGTCAAGGATGAATTCTGACTTTGAATTTACGGTCAATGCGAGGGGAAATATACGGAGGAGGAAGCAAAAGCTTATCTTTAAGAGCGGGGTTAGAGTAATAAATATTATTAAAAAGACCCAAACAAGATATTTCGCGACGCAACAACAGAAGAGGAAGATATAGGTGAGCAAATTTCAAAGACGTGAGCAAATCTCATAGACGTAACACTGGCTGTACTACGTTGATAGTTGGAGAAAATAAAAGGCGCACGTAGATTTTGGAAAACCTCAAGGTTGGACACGTGCACGTTGTGACTGGGATCCCTGATCGATGAACCGTGTCTCAACTTAAAACGTACCAGGGGACATCCGTCTGAACAGTCACTTGGTAAAACCGCGCGAGAGCGCAAAAATCAGCTGGCACACACCTGCTGTGGTTTCCAGTAAAGTGGTAGGGGCTATGAACAGAGCGTTAGCAAGCAAGCCGCAGAGATAAAGTTTTTCAGGCGTAGTTGCCTGCATATGTGCCAACACCATCTGCGCGTTTCGAACATGCGCAATATAAAACAGCTTTCTTCATCTTTTTTTTTTTTTTTTTTCAACATCATACACTGTTCCGTTTCATCGGAAGCCTCAGTGCAGACAGAGCACTGAATACATTCAGACACATGCGCACAAACATGTGGAGCAAGGTGGTGACGACGAATATATGATGTTTGATTAGTTTAGCCACTGGCAGAGAAAGGTGACGAACACCATGACGCTGGACGGTATCTTGCGCCACCTAGGCAGCTTACTGTACTTCGGATCAGGTTCGCGGCACAAATGTCGCATCCGAGCGAGAGTAACTCATTCGTTCTAATTGCAAATGAATGGCTCAATCATTTTCTTTACCTTAGGACAAAATGTGATGTCTATCTCCGTGAACGTAACCCATAATGAAAAAAAAAGAATCGCAGGTTTTTATATTTTTTGAGACACGCCTCTATGACTTCTAGTTTTATAAATGTCTTATGTGGCCGACTCGCGTACTCATTTTATTGATAAATAGACAAAGAGCACATACAGTCTCCTATTATCGACCTTTTTAGAATTTGTGCGCACACATATTTTACAGATTTTTTTTGAAGAGTGACTTTAGTACAAATCGAAAATGTCATAACTCAGTGTAGCCTTGTAACTGAGCAACAAACTTTGAGGGCTTATTTTTTACGAACCTAGCTACTCAGCATAAAAAAAAAAAAAACGAAAAGCGCAACTCCAGTTGTGTAGTCGTAAACAATGGCTTAAAATGCTTAAAGCTCGAAATTTCGTCCTAAGAGTCCTAAGTTTTTTTCGTATAATATTTTAGCAGCTGGTGTGATATTTTTAATTGTGTTCTTGCGGAACTAGATTTGTTTTCTTTAAGAATGCTTTTTGTTGTAGTTGTGTTCAAAGTCGTCTAGAATAATTTCGCAATAAATCAATATTTTGAAGCTCGACTATGTTCACGAAAAACGCAAATTAGAAAAAACGAAACTAAGAAAACTCAAATGGTGCATAGACTTTGTTTGTAGACTCCACGGGTAACAGTTATTGCTCAGTTCCCGTACTAATTTGCCCTATTTAAAGAAATTTACGATCTGTAGCAGTCGAATTCGGGCAACGTAGGGTGCTTTGCGTTGAAATACAACCAACCCTGGAAAATGCTAGACCCCGCCCCGGTGCTACTCAGAAAAAAAAAAAAAAAAAGAGTGAAAATGCTGGCCTGATTGAAAGATGTGTGTGCTTCATTCATATTATTCTTCAAACCTACCTGCAGACAGTTTTTCGTAATGTGACAGGATCGCTGATATTCGCTCTTCCTCGCGTTAATTGAAACGTGGTGGCGCCTGTGTGCAAATAGCCCCCAACCAGTTTCGGTTCTAAACAAGACGGCGGGTTTCACAGTACTTTCTAAGTCGCACATACTTGCTATCTTCCGGAAATGGCGACTTATATCACTGTCAGACTTAATTACTTCTTATAATAAAAGAATGGTGCATAAAAACTTAGAAAATACACGTGAATTGGAAATGTGCCTTGAGCTACCCAACAGGTGGCGCCACTGAGTTTGTTGCCAAAGAGAAAAGGGGCGAATAGGAAGCTGCGTACGTAACATCCTTTTCAAGGAAATGCCAACAATAGTGCCGAAAACTCATAGAAGAAAAAGGAAAAAAAAAAACGTTGGCGTAAAGTGCGTTTGCGGATGACCCATGGACTATATGCCCCAGAGCGGCTGCTAAGCTGCTGTGCTGGCCGTGCTATATGCTATCTGTCACACTCCCACTGGCGAGATACCAGAGCGAGATACAATTCTGCATGGGGTCAGTGCCAGATAACGAAGCTGCGCTATCCACGCTTTGGATGCATATGCGAGTATTTTCGGGAGCAAAGAAAACTTGAGGTGGCGCCGCGTATTCATAGAAACGCTCTCTCCGCAAAGAGCGCGCTGACATTTTTTTTTCTTTTTTTTTGTGGGCAGCTAGGTCATGATGACAGTAGGTTGTAGCTCCGATCATCGATCAAAAAACTTCGAGCATCCAGGACGCACAAAGGCCTGTTCACAAATGCAGCGGAGCGTTACAGGCATAGCGCTGACTTCGCGCTAAGCCTGTGCTGATGGGAGCGTTCAGCAGGTTTGTATCGCACCGTCAGAACTCCTGCTTACATCCGGTGGCCTGACGCCCTCGGGCTCTATGTGCTATCTATGTCCCATAGTGAAGATAAGTGGTTACATTTAACTGAACGGACAACAGCTATTAGCGGAGGCAGCACGCAAATGCAGCGCCATTCGCCTGCGGCAAACTTGCCGTAGCTCGTTTGCCGTCACTAGAGGGCGAATGGAAAACTAGCAATAACAAAATAAACTGAGCTTTTTAATATTAAAAAAACACATAGCTGTTCAATTTAGTTTGCGCAAACGCACCTCCGAGATGAGTTACCCATGCTTCAACTCGTTTTCATTTCTATACTTCGTTTCAGAAAAGTGCAGACGCAGCCGACGCTACGAGCTAGTGGGATCAATGAATTCGCGTCGAAAACGCAAGTCATTGGGTCCTTTCTGCTTACGATTGGTTCAGTGATGATAGAACACGCACATAAACATGATGGACCATAGCCTCATCTATACTGACAATGTCTAGCCGATCGCCATGAGACTCGGCCGCCGAAAGTGAAAAGGTGGAGCGGCAGGCAACGGTTGAGAGGAGAGTCATGTAAAGGGCGCCCCGCTACGGTGAGACGCCGAAACACACTTCTTCCGAGCGGCGGGGAATGCGTTGAACTGCCAGGCTTTGTGAGTATAGAGGACGCTATGAATGAACACTATGATGGTGTCATTTTGACTATATCTGATTGGTCACCCCACCACCTCGTTGCGTCACCCGCTTTTGGACTTCAAGGGGTGTTGCAACGATACTCAATTGGAATGTTTGTTGTTGTTGTTGTGGTTGTTGTTGTTGTTGTTGTTGTTGTTTTCACTTTACACGAGTTCACTGGCAATAGTGGGATCCAAGTATACTCACGCAACGCCACTGACCAAGAAACCTTTTCGTTGCGGTGTAATTTCAAGGCTCATAGCGAGCGTATTCTCCCAGTCTCTCCTTCAAAAACCTTGACGACGTAGCCTGGGGGTCGCAGTATCCCAAAGTTACGGTATTCGAATGCGGCTCATAGGTTGGACCCGAGCGTCGCGTGAGCCCGCAATTTGTGCTCGTGATCATCACTAGCTCCACGAGCATTCGGGTAGTGGCCCGTGTCCAATCACGGCAATGACGACAATAGCCGAACTATAACAATGCCTGGAGCTCGGCGCGTGTCCATGTGCTTTGCCACGGGTTTGCCAACCTCAGCGCGTGGCTATGATTAACACTGGCGGCATATAATCGTGTCCAGGTCACGTGGTCGCTTGTTCTCGCTAACGCTACTCGTTTTTCTTTAATTCTTTTCTGCGACGTATATTGCGTGGAGAAAAACGAACGCGTGCTTCATTGGTCATAAACGTCAGGGATGCACTTTAAGCGGTATATGCACTAAGTAGAAAAATTGTCGCACCGCCTCTTTAAGGTGGAACGAAGTATAATTCTGGAACTTTTCTTAAAGACCGTTCGCCGCCCAACCGTTAAGCCAATTCCACTTTAAGAGACCTTGACAACTGTCTTTGGCGGCAAAAAAAAAAAAAAATGTACATGCAAATTTTGATGAAACGCGAAAAAGTCGAGAAACACATAAATGCCTGAAGCCTCCCTTTTCTTACCGCGACGGACTTTCTCGATAAAATTATGCACCGCACACCTTTGATAATGTCGCCAATTCTTTCTTTTTCTCTCGGCTGTATTGCCACGTGACAGTGGTAGACCCTCGTAATCAGGCTATAACGCCCACTTGCGTTAGAAAAAGCTACACAGGCCCCATCAACTCTAACATTTTTTTTTTTACTTTTCGCCCCTGCAGTCTGCGTACGTGCCTGACGTTGCCTG